CCATAGCAGCGTGTCTGAACAATGCCAAACACTTGTGAGCAGACACACAAAAATTCAAGAGGTGGAACACACAAAACGTGGATCTTGGTAGGAAGCAGAACAGCCACTAGAAAAAGCACCGGAGCCGCTGAGGAACGGGAGAGCGGAGTCAGAGCTGCTGCTTACCAAGACCAAAATGAGAGTCGGGATGGCTGGGCCAGTGCTAGGGCAGCCTCAGAAGTAAGGTGACAGCACAGATACAAGTAAAACCATGACCAAACCAGCTCTGGGAGCCCCCTGCATTGCCTGGGAGCCCCCTGCATTGCCTGGGAGCCCCCTGCATTGCCTGGGAGCCTGTGGCCACCGTTACCCAACAGGCAGGTTCTGACCCCTTCCTTGTAAAAGCCTTGTAGGTGCTGGTTTCCCCCTTGACAAGAGCCCCCAACCAGCCCCAGGTCCGAAGCACATCTTGACAGCTGTTTTCCAGTTACATTAAATTACACTTGATGCAGACAGGTATTTACCTACTGCAATTATCCCTGGAGCTAGAAGTACCTCCAAGACCTTAGAAGCCTTGAAAAAGCTAATTAATGCACTGCCATAAATAATGTGATCTCTTAGGAGGATATGTACTCGCTACACAGTAAGTAACAGCTTTCTTTAAAGGAGAAAAGGATGATTTGCCAATGCATACCTGTATTTATTATATGCATTCATCAACCATTTCTAATTTGCCATAAAGAAAGCAGAAAAGGGAAAAAGAGGAACCTCAGCCTAAAACACAGCACAATCCTGTGAGCTGCACCATCCCTGGAAGGCAAATCCAGGTCTGTCCTATTTTGTCAGACACGAGCATCTCCCGCGGGGAGGTCTCACAGGAAGCCAAGAGCCAGCACAGATCTCTGCTCCCAGAGCGTCCCGCGGGCGCAGGGAGGGCGGGCGGCTGCAGAGCACGATCCCTTCCCAGCCCTGCAGCAGAGAGGAGACACCGCCTGCCCTGCGCCCTCTGGACCAGGGGACCGATGGCTTCCAGCTGCAGAAACCACGGTGGTGTCTGGGCCTGGAGCACGGCAGCACCACAGGCTTCCCACTGCGGATCCACAGCCGACACCAAGTATAAGGAAAAAAAGTTATAAATCAGCCGCTTGGCTGGTGCTGTTACCCAGGAGGTTTGAGCGTGCTGTTTAACACACAAGGTTGCCCTCCAACCAGGTTTCCGTTTGCCCAGGAGCTCCTGACCATAACCACACGCTGTGGAGAGGAGCCCAGGCGACCAACGTTGCTGCAGCAGCACGAGGACTTTAACATGCTCATATGCTGGTTTAAGTGTTTGGAAAGATACAAAATAAAAGAGCATCCATTACCTTAAAAACCACCTAAACCCTCCTAAGAAACAGTCATTCAGTTACCTGAACCCTTGCTCTCAATGAGTCCTCCAGAATGGCTGGTGGGAACAGCTTAGCGACCTGAATCCAGGACAAAACTCTAGCAAATGTCTTCTGGTGCAGAAGCAAAGCAGACGCCGTGCCACCGGCGCTCGAGCCTGCCCTCTGCGAGGCAAGCTCTGCTCCCTGCCACAGCACAAGCTGAAACAGGCCGCGAGAGAAGAAGTGGGTACCATAAAGATGATGCTCGGCATCCGTCTCATGGGGGGGGCACCTGGGAACAGCCAGGAGCCACCTCAGGTGAAACACCAACGCTTCTTCAATAAATAAAACAATTGCTCTCAGCGGCATCAAGCCATCAGGGAGCTTCAGTATTTGAAGCTCTGCAAAAACATCAGCCCAGCCCTCCTGTGGAGAAGGAAACAGACCCTTCTGCTCCCTGCGTAAATTTATACTTTTCTAAGTGCAGCCTTTTAGAAACAGCTGTAGCCAGGGGTGCAATTAATTCAATTCTTTCCAGTAGATTTTTAGCTCCATAAAACTCATGTATTATTTAAGCCCAGCAGCCAAACCACGAACATCATCAAGGTCCAGCTTTTCCTTTGCGCAAACACAAAAAACCTCACAAGTTTTGGTGAAAGATCTCTGGAAAAATCCCACACCACCTTCAAACCCCACCAATCCGTCGGCTGCCAACAGGGACCTTTCATTCCTGCAGTGTGCCTGGTGGTACCCCACTCTCCATCGACAGGTCCCCATTCCAGGGGGTGCCTGCTGTGCCTGCCCTCAGATCCCTACGGAGCATCCAGGGAGCGTCACCCCCGGGAACAGCCTCCGCCAGGCCGTTGTGCTGGTGCCTGCAGCACTCACAAGGCTCAGGTCCCCCCAAGGAGGACACAGCAGAAGGTGGCACATCCTCCCTCCCAACCCGGGTAACTGAGATCACCTGGGTGAAGAATCCTTACACGGAGACAGGCGCCATGAGCAAACATGACCTACGTCTGATCTGCATTTATGTAAACCTTCCTTTAGAGCAGGAGTTACCCTGGCTGAGACAAACCTTTCTTTGGAGCAGGAGTTACCCTGGCTGAGAAAACCCCAGCATTGGACACCCAGCGCCAGGCCCGGTGCCATCCCACCCCAGGGACCCTGATGGACACGGCTCTGGAGCAAAGCTGAACCCGCTCTCCCCAGCAGCCTCACGTCCTCCAGCACCGGGGAGGTGGGTGTCAAAATGAGAGCAGAGCTTTACTGCAAGGATTTCTGTGCTCTTCCTCGCGTTCCTGAGACCTGAGCTAACCCCTTCGTGGGGAAGGGCCACCCAGCAGAAGGTCACTGCAGGAGGGAGCCCGTCAACCACGCAGAGGGGACCCCACGGGGTCCTCCTCCCTCAGCACCCTTCGGCTCCGGTCAGACAGAGAGTGTGGAGCTAAAGCCTTCTAGCAAATAACAAATGTATGAGATTATACTATATATTCTCTATATATCATATTACATTTTCATTACATTTTCTAAAGGCCAGTCAGCTGAAAAGCTTGTCTTTGAAGAAACAAAGCCTGGATTTAAACAAACCAAATGCTGGATCCTTTGTTGCCCAACAGCCATCAAACGCACCGAGTACGTACAAGCAGAAGAGCACAACACAGAGAGGGACTGACCAGCATCGCTCCGAGCAGTCCCCCAGCCCATGCACAGCTCCCAAGAGGGATCACCGACACCACTTTCGGGAGCCCTACCTCTGCCTGTTCTTAAACAGAAGCAGATTTTCTAGAAATGACACAGAGAGGGACTGAGCAGCATCGCTCCGAGCAGTCCCCCAGCCCGTGCACAGCTCCCGAGAGGGATCACCAACACCACTTTTGGGAGCCCTACCTCTGCCTGTTCTTAAACAGAAGCAGATTTTCTAGAAATCTGCACTTCTGCATGTTCCAAGAGCCGTAGCTGTCAGTCAGCTTTCCACGAGTTATTACTTCTGTGTATTCAGAGCAGTTTGGGAACCGAAGGTTGGCTTGTCGCTTCCACGCTCCATAAACAGTATAGATGCTGGAATATGGTAATATTTACTCCTGTTTTGCCATCTGCTTATATATGCACATAAAAACATGTGACTCCCAGAATGTGGAGCAGCAGAATAACAGCCACGGCTTTTCATCACAAGATAAAGGTAGAAAAATCAATACATGTCTTCTCTCTTTAATGAAAAAGGTACCATTGCACAAAAGAAAGAAGAATATCTGTAGTAAAAAAAACAAAACCAAGCACTTTTCAAGAGAATATACACTCCTTAGCTTTAGCTTTTACTAAAGAGTCAGTGTCTGAAAAAAAAAACCCAAAGCCTCCCCCAAATTCCCACCACTGTGGTTACATAACCTGCAAAAACCAACCCCAAAACCAGGCACCAAGTTGTTTGTCTTTAGAAGCAAAGATCCATCCCAGCTCCAGGTCAGGTTCAACAGCACGAATGCCCCCCAACACCCCGACATACCTTAGAACACCCCACCACCTTCCAGCCGAGGTCCCCGCGCTGAGGAGAAGCCGGGTCCCACCAGCTGAGCCTACTCAGCCCCACACACCCCAGGAAGGGGCTTCACACAGGTGTGTGCTGTTAAATCAGAGCCCATGACAGGCCTCACAGCTTAAATGACTCCAAACAAAGAGCCACACGCCAGCTGAAGGGCAGAGTCCCTCTGCTTCCCCAGCCTCCAGCTGAACCCAATCACTCAATTAGTGTCCAAAGCAGGGGCACCCCTGGCTCCTCCCCGTAGGGGAAAGCCCCCGAGCCAACCTCACAGTGCCCCTTCCACCAACAGAGACACATCTGCAAAAGCCATTTCCTGAAAGGGCAGAGCTCTGCACAGGTAACCCCAGAATTCAGTTTATTGTGAATAAATCTGATAAAGAAAGGTGGGGTGACCAGAGAGCTGCTGTCTCTGCTCCTCTCCAGCCCACGCAATGAGAATTGTGTGTTTAACCTGATCCTAGGAGACAGATTCTTTGGATATTGAGGGGGTTTTGTTTGGTTTAGTTTTTTCTTAGGGCAGGGAAAAGCACTGCTGTGGGTTTGGGGGTGGTGTGTCTGTTTTAAGGGCAAGGAGAACGGGAACATTTGAAATTGAGTTGTGTAACGTTTGACAGAAACCTCGCACTCTCCCTGGCAGAGCCGGGTGAAGGTTCCTGCCCCGCTGGCTCTCTCTCCCAGACAGCACCCCCAGCCCCTGCCTTCACGGGCAGAGCACGGGGTTAGTGCAGCCCCCAGGGACACCAGCACTGGCCCCTGCTACCACACATCCTCACCTCACCGCTGGTGACCAGTGCTTTTCACACGGGTTTGAGACACCCCAGTTACCCACAGCCAGTGCTTCCACCCGGAATTGGTCACACTTCCCATTTCTGACTGTAAAAACAGCCATGAACACACGTTCTGTGTCCCCCCCAGTCCAGTGCCACTGCTGCCCTCCAGCACAGACCAGTGCCACAGTCACACACCCCTGAGCCCCTTGGGGTGAAGAGTGGGACTTAGGACACTGAAGGAATAAAGACAACTTCTTCCAAGACTGCAAGAGAGAGAGTTGTGTGCTCAGAGCAGCTGTGGAAGAATATTCCGTGTCTTCTGTGACTATAAAGGAATCAAAAGACTCATTTTACAGTGCATTTTAATTAAAAGTTCATTATAAGAATTTTCTTTTAAGAACAGCATACTACATATTAATGGAATATGCAACTTTATCCTACAAATGGGACTGTCACCATATAATTCTTACATTTCAAACATATGAAAAATAAAATATGATATTTAGCTTTATAAATTCCCCCTCCCCCCCATAAATCCTTTTTCTTTTAAATAACAAAAGTATTAACTCTTTCCCAGTACAGTGCATTTGCTACCTGCGAGCCACAAACCAAGTAATCACATCAATGCCAAGGAAACAGCTACATCGTTTGCAAAATATTGAGAGAAAATGATAAAAAAATATAGTAGTCAGCCCAGTGCTTACAGAAGAGACAGTCAACAAGAATTGAAAAAACAGCACATTTTCATATTACACAGGACCATCATAGTAACATAGAAAACAGTGCAGAAGACTTATGCTGGAAAATAGATAGCGAGTCTCAGCAAGCAGAAACTGAACTTTGGCACTTGCTCATAAAAAGGCTTTTCAAAGCAAAACAAAACGGAAATTCACTTAATCACAGCTTGTATATTTTAAAAAATAAAAGACATTGACTAAAGCAAGAGAAACAATAGAGAAAAGTTTACAAGCCGGGTCACTAGGAATTCAGTACATTCAGCCTACAGAAAATACAGGTACAATCTGCCCCGTCCGCGCGGGGTCCTGGCGAGCGAAGGCCAGGCTTTGGGACAGGACCCTGCCTGAAGCTTAACGGAGCTGTGCTCCTCACACAGCCCTTCCTCAAGCTGAGCTAGAACAACATCTCGGATCCATCGCCTCCTCAGCGCAAAACAAGGATTTCTAACCTGCAAATTAAAAAGCAAGACCCTTGCACTCGGACAGTGGCTGTTCGGCCCTACCCATAGTTGCACCGTAACCACTGCAGTGTAAGGACTGAGTTCTTTAAAAAGGGCTAGAAAAGAATGGCTTTGATTCAGAGGGGAGATGATAGACTGGGAGGAAGGATTCACATTCAGCCCATTAGTGCCTTGCTGCAGGTTGTAAGAGGAGAACCATGGTTAATGTGCATGGCTTTCCCCTCCCTGCCCGAGGAGCTCAGCCCCAGCCAAAAGGGCCACAGCCCAGAGCAGAGGTCAGGTGGGACCAGGAGAATGGAAGGGCTGCTCTAGCCAAAAGTGCTTCTCTCAGTGCCAGGCTCAAGGCCCCAGACTAGTAGCTATCTTTGCACCCAGGCAGGTTACTCAATTTCTTTATTCTTTTGAGGAATTAGGATTGGGGAAGGGCAGAAAGAAAAAGAAGTGCTTTAGGTTGCACAGAAGATTGTCCTACTAAAGGGGGCACTTGGATGGGAAACGATTGCAGCTATAAATCTAGCAGACGCTCTTCACATGTCTCCACAGGCCATTTTGTAGCACCCCCGAAGACATCGACGTTGTTATCCACCCAAGGTATGATGTTGCCAGGCATGTTGGCGGAGCAGTTAGCAATATTGGAGATGTCTTCAGCTTTTAAGACCCTGTCCCATATATTGAACTGGCTCATCTCTCCAACGAAGGCTTGAGTTGCGTCAAATCTTCCTCCCACAGTGTCCTTTAGGCACACAAGAGTTAGATTAGATGAGAAGGTTAGGTCAGCACTGCCTTCTTCAAACGTCAAGACCCCCCAGCCACACTCCCAGAAGGAGGTGCAGAGCCAGGTCACACAGACCAGCAGCTTCAAGTTTCCAGAAGGGCTACTTTTAACAAGACAGAACAGTTAAATCTCCAATCTGAAGCGTGTCAGAACAACTCAGAACAAAGAGCAGTGACTGTACAGCATCACACAACGGCCATGTGTAACCAACCCTGGCCCCAGCAGCAGAACAGGAAGGCAGCTTTAAATATTGGGGCCGATTTAGGAGCTGCTTTGCAAGCTTGGCACAGGACAACTTCAGCAAGAACTGCAGAGATGAGTGAGATCACCCCAAGAGCTTTATGGCTACAGATTAACCTGTAACTGCAGCCCCTGAGCAGTTGTCGGCAGGGCCTGTAAGGTGCCATCTTTGGATCTCAATACACCAGCAGCTTTTGGCTGTACCAAGTGACTACATCAAACAGTGTTTGCTGGCTCCATCCACTACTCAAGGATGGAAATCATACATTTTGTGTGATCAAACTGACATGAATCTGATGGCACAGGACAGAACCCAGCATGTCCAGGCAAAGGGAGAGAGGGGAACAGAAGAGCTCCAGCCACTCGATACTGAGCTGGAGCATCTGCAATGCAGGGGGTGTTAGGATTCTGAATTTACCACGGATAAGTAATAGAATCAGTATCGGGACAAAACTACTTTCTCACTGCCCCACCATGAACTAGGGTATCCTGGAGAAAGGCTATTTCCTGCTACTCATTACATTTATTTTTTCTGTGTTTCTTTTTTATATGTATAGTCATACAAAGAACAGGTAGAGAAAGAAAAATAAGCAAGACCCCCCCCAATTCATAGGCAATAGTTTAATGAGAGGTTAACTAGAGGAGTGCGACTCAAAATCCTTTGGGTTGTTTTTTGATATTCAAAAAGGACTTGTCCTTAACCTCATGAATGCTTCCTGTTGGCAGTACTAATATTCAAACTTTATTAGCATTTGCATTAAGAAAGTTATTTACCTACAACTCTAATGATAAACCAGATGTCTGATTTGGAGTTTATCCCTTTGACTTCAGGCTCTTCTTTAAAGCAGACAAATTCCAAACAAGTGACAGACTCCACTGCTCTGAAGTCATGTTACATACCTGAAATTCTGCAGAATTCGGTCTGCAGGGAGTTCAACAGAGCAGGGCAAGCTATAACAGATTCTGATACACCCACATGCACTTCAGTGCCCACAGGTGTTGGCCCCTCACCCCATACCCACACTTCCCTTGGTCTGCCCTGGGGCTCAAGGACTAACACCTTTCTGTTCTCAGGATAAAGAAGAAAGGAAGGGGGAAAACCAATAAGCTGCTAAGGGGGACAGTCAATTTGGCTTCAATTTAAAAAAATAAATTGAAATCTAAGCAATTATACTTTGTCCACTTTGAGCAAGCTCCTTTTTGACTGCTCATACGGCAGCACCAATTCTGTCCTCCCCAGGCCACACTGGTAGTTACCTACAATTTGGCTCAAAAGATTTAATTTCAGGGATTACTCAGATCACTGATGAAGCTGCACAGTGTAGAATTAAGAGTGGGAATAGGAATAGCTGCAACATTAATATTCTGAATATTTAATAAATGGAACAAAAAGCACCAATGTGTGATTGCATTATTTGTTGCTTTGTTTTAATCTTTCTGATACTGTGTACACAACAGGACCAAGTGTTTGACAAAGAAATTCTCACAACTGCTGTTTGGGGAGTTTTGATTTTTTATTTTTTTTCAAACCCTGGAACACTGTCGTTCACTCACCTGTTCCTGACCCAGGATCAAGACTCCTCCAGGTTTAATTGGGTGCCAAGGAGCAAGATTCTCCCCAGTGCCAAGCTTCTCTCCATCCTGAAAAGCCTCCCACATTCCATCTCTAGTTGTCCACGTTATACAGATATGATGCCATTTCCCATCACTAATGAAGAGAGGGAGCTGGGCAACCTGCAAACAACACAGAGCAATGCACCTTGCAAACCAAGCCCACCAGTTCTAGCACAACATTTAAAGCAAAGACTTCAAAGGCAGGAGTTAACCCACAGCTCTCTGCTTTGGCCCAGCTCTCCTGTTCTCAGGAATGCAGCCATGCTTTTTATTCTAGATGTGTGCCTTTGCTTCATTTAGTATCAAGCAACACAAGTACCGGAGTCTAAGCGGCTGTCAATCTGTGTGTATTCATCTAAGGCCTGTTGTTTCAGTCTCAGTGCTTAGTCCTAACTTTCCAGCCAGAGCTCATGTTAAGTTCCTCTTAAAATCTGCCCATTTGCAGTAACAGCTATGACCAACAGATCTGCCTGCTCATCAGAAACCATCAATAATATGAAGTAGTGCAAGACAATCATTGCTTTTTGTACCTAAAGTCTGAAATAAACTGTCTTTAAACTGCTGTTCAGTCACTAGGCATAACAAAGCCAGCCATAACTACATGCTTTTTGCTGTGTTCTGCAAAATTCATTTTAACATATCTGAACTTCTAGGATTAGAAAGATAGACATACTGCAACTGGCTTGGATCTGACAGGTTTTTGCAGTAGTGCGGCTTCAAATATTGCTTCTGTTTCATAAAACAAAAAATACAAGAAGCCAAAATCTGCTTGTAAACTCAGAGGATGTGTGTAAGGGTTTGCACATCTAGACATCATGCTGCTGTGTCTCAACACACACACACATATGTGCCATTTGACTTGGTTTCCAGTGCTTTTATGAACTTGCAACAAGCAGAAGGACAACAGGCAAGGAGACACTACCACCTGAAAGGCTTCTCTCAAAGAGAGAGTTACTAGACAGGTATCAGGGTTCAGGACTTAACCCGATTAAGCAGAAAATTAAAGACGACTTAGTAGATTCTCACCTTATCGTTAATTAGCAGTTCAATGGGATTGTTCCCCCATTCTATGAGGACAATTTCATTAGCCTGCCCAGGAACAGCATAGGAGAAGGGGGTGCCGATGCCAGGGGACGCGCTGGACCTCAGCCACAAGCAGACGGTGAACGCGTACAGCTCGGGCAGCGTCTTCTTGATCTTCCCGTACAAGTAGTTTGTGCGAAGGGGAAGGGAGACTTTGAATTCATCAGGTGACTTAAATGCACTGTTGCCTGGAGTTACATTGAGGAAGAAAACCCTTTAGCATGAAACAAAGCTTTGTATTTGTAATTCAGACTAAGAAACAATATAATTTATATTGACTATCTTTGAAATTTTAATTGCTTCGTGCAGTACGCAAAAGATATATCAAAGTAGTATTACTGAATGTTGATTTTGTAGCACAGAGAAATACTACTAGATTTTATACGTATCATGCTAATTACTTAGTTTATTTTTCCTGCTCATTAGAGCAGAAGAATAGATGGCAGACAACTAACGAGAGGCTGTTAAATATTTTCTTTCTTCATTGCTTAGTTCATGACTGGAGGCATGCCTATTTCAAATAATTCAAACTGGTTTAAAATATATTTACTGTTGACACTAGACGTGGATTCTCTGATATGCTCATTATTAAAGTATCACAGTGCTTCAAATCACAGAATCATCAGAACCAGTGCTGCTTCTCCTACTACTGCTACGCAGAGAGCTGGCAGCAGTACCCCCATTTACAGAGAGCAGCTTGATGATCTCATTTTGGGTGGCCCATCTGAAATCAGTAAAAGCTGACATATTCCAGAAAGCAGAGTTAAATTCAGTAGAACCAGATCTGGAGGAGATCTGAACAACAACATAAAGCTGAAGTTTGAAGTGACCTGAAGAAAATGCAATATTAAGTTATGAACTATGAGAAGATTAGACTTTTTAAAATATAAAACCAGAAATTACTTGGCTTTTTCTAAAAGATGTTATAAAACCCAACAAGATATTCCACAGACATATTTATGAAATTGAGAACTTTTAAGACCAAAGCTTTCTAAAGTTGCAGTACTCTGTATTATATAGTTTGCATATACTTCTGATGTAGTTGCTTACAAGTAATTTTCTGGAATTAAATTTTAAGAGAAAAATCCCACGCGGTGCCACAAGATAAAACACCACAGTTCCATAGTGCAATGACACCCTCAACCTTTTAGCAACCTGTTCTTCCACAGGACACTCATTTCCTTTACTCACATTCCCCAAACAAATGCAATCCCCTTGCCAAATGTCACACTCCAATGCAAATGAAGAGCTGTTGTCACAAAAGGTTGCCACAATTCTTTGTAATTTTTAAACCATTGGTATTCTCTACTTCCCATTCTCAGAAGCAACTGGTGTTTTGACTGCATTTTTCACAGAATGAGGGGGTGGAAGAAAAAGCTTGTCTGATGCTTACATCTGTCTTGAGGAACTTACAGACCAAGAACTGAAATATTCCAAGTTCTAAGCAAAAAACACCGCAGGGCCTTAGGGCTAACATTGGTTGCACCAGCCTAGTGGTGGCTGCTCAATCTCACATATAAAAAAAGAACCATACTCCATTAAGAACATTAGTCACTCTGTGAAAGAACCTAAGGACACAATAATGGGTTGGAAAAGAACAAACAGTATTAATCTTTTTTCTCTTTTTCAGTTTGTTCTCTGACTTTAAAACATCCACAACTCTAAATAACAACATTCTCCTCTTCTGGGCAATGGGCACATGCACAGGGTAAGACAATCCTTTTCCTAAAGAATATGAATTATTTTTTAACAAGGGTGGCAAGAAACATTGTTATTCCCTTTTGGAGATGAAGAAAATACATTTAGACATAGCAAGTTCAGGTCTCCAGCAAAGCCAAAAATCATATTTAAGTCCAGGCACTAATAGTTTCAGGATCATTCCTCCACTCAGTTCTACTTTTTAATGCATCATCTACTGCTGTCAATGGAGACAAGCAGCAAAGGAATTGCCAGAAGACTTTGGGAATCACAACAGTTGTACAAACCTCAAACTCTTCTGCCCCCATTGGTAACTAAAGACAGCTGTCACAACTACAGATAAAAACCCCAAAGCTGTAAGGTTAGGTTTTTCCTCCATTTATTTAGTGTCAGGGCAATGAGGAGCTTATGACACTCCAGCTAGTTGTCAGGAAGAGAGGCTTAACAATATGGCACTTAAGAGCACAATAGCAATACTATTTTCAAAAGAAGCAGACAGTATTTGAAGTCTTTTCACATTTAATCTACAAAATCATTAAGTTCTTAGATCATTGTTACCCTCACTTTGACTTGAGAGTGGAACCAGAGGCACAGACCAGCCAAACTGCACTAAGAGAACAAATCACACAACTAAGACAGCCTGCCTCTTGGTTCCTGGCCCAAGCTCTTCACTTCCCTGCAGACTTAAGACAGCCCTCTCTCCCCACACAAAAAACAAAGGTGGGAACAGGCTATTTTTAACCTAACTAAATTACACATTCTTGTTCTCCCACCACTGCCTCTCTCTTTCTGATGACTTGCCGACATGAGTCACATCTTTCAGAGACAAGGACTAGCAACACTTGCCACATAAGACATTAACAGGCCACTAATTCTCCACAACTTCAGCTGCAGTTCAAGCTTTATCTTGGCTCTCAAGAGATAGTAAATGGCAGAGCCAGTAAAAGATCTCTTCTTCCTCCTTCACTTTTCCACTCCTTCACACTTTTTAAATGAAAAAAATAGATACAATATTACACAAATGGATCCATTAGGCTGCATTTTAAAATTCATGAGATACATATGTTTGCACCATTTTCAAAGCATGTCCATTAAGCTGCTTTTAAGCAAAGCGCCTTTTCACCCTGGAAAATCATTTAAAGATTTGACAGAGATATTTACTGGTACTCTAGTCTGCACAGTCCACTCTGTAGGTGTGTATAGTCAATACAGAAATACAGTCTGTTCTGTAGCTCATTTCCACGGGAATTTGTAATTCAAATAAACAGACTCTACTCAAGCATAGAGATCTCAATAATTAATCTAAGTATCTGAATAAATGACTAGGATTAAGAGAGTGTCCCCCAGTGGCACCATGTGTAGTCTGCTGTAAGCTCCGAAGGCTATACACTTGGGATAGGAAACAACTCAGGTGCCTGCAGGTACCAAAGTCATGGCCAGCAACAAGAGGAATGGCCACCAGCAACACTCCCAAAACAGCAGGAAATGGTTCTGGTATAACATGCCATTCCTTACATCAAAGGCAGTTGTGCTAATTAAATTTAGCCCATATGATTTTCAGTCCAAATAAAGAAAGGCAGCCCTACTTAGATGTGTAGTCAGCATTATCTAGGTATTTACCTGACACCCATGTCATACGTCTCCCTGTTTTCACTTGCCTCCTTATAGATCTTCCCATTCCCCAAACACTAAGGGTTTCATCCTAACCACCCACGTATGCCAAATTAAGAGCTGGGAAGCCAAAGCCATGCAGAGGCCTGTCAAGCAGGAAGCCCGTGACAGAATGAAAAATGGAATCCAAGTGTTTGTGCTGTCACCTACTATTTAGTCCAGCACCTTAATTGGCTTTCCCTCAAGGCCTACACTTAGGGAACTGCACTAGGAGGGAGTAAACAAAATTAATCAGCACGGGGAAGCATTTAGACTCTGTGCAGATTACCTTTTTCTAATTCAGACACTCTTTCTAGCAATGCGTTCAAGGCTGTCTCCGTCTTCTGCCGATGGGCTGATGTCTCATTATGAAGCAAAGACTTTTCATCCTCCAGCTCAGCCACTTTGCTTAGGAGCTGGCGCTCCAGGTCTCCAAGCCTCCGCTGAAGCATCTCCCGAAGGTCACTAGGCAGTGCTGCATAGGACACGTTGGCTCGGAGCTGGTGCTTTAGGGAAAACGAGAAGAAAAAAAGATTGCCATTTCTAAAACAGAAACTGTGAAGTGCAGATATGCTCCTGATTTAAAGGGAAGAAAGCAAGATCACCAAGTTCTGCAGCAGGTACAAAAGAGGCATTGGTTTTTAGCACTCGTCATGTTCAGTGCTTTTATCAGCACTGGAGCTAAACAGGTCCTGAAACAAAAGGGCACTTTTGTTAGAGGCTTCCAGTGTTTCACATGAAGGAGTCTTCACACACTCAAGTTCAATAAAATCAATGTAGGGAGCCAGGTCTGATGCACTGCCATTACTATGGGTACATGTGGCACATTAGTCAATTTTTGCTTTACTTACTAGAAGTGTCATTGCCAATGTAAATGAACAGAAAAACTGTTACTTCTTTTTAGATAAAAAAATAAGCTACTTCAAAAGCAAATTTACCAAATGAAAAGTCTCCTCAGTTTTGATTTGCAGAGTAAGGAAGTCTGATGTTCTTTAGATCAACTGTAAGCATTAGCCAGTGAAAGTACTTTCATTTAAGCTGAAAAAAACCAACCCCATACTCTCTCAAGTAACATTGGTATCTTCAAGAATACAAAGAAACCAACAGTTCCACCTACCCTATTATTTTAGTGGCATCTCTCTTCTACAACCCTAGAAAAAAAATGCCTCAAAAAGAGAGCAACAGAAATAAAAGGATGTTACACCACCAGATCATTCAAAACTGTTCTCAAAAAGCAGTCTACAGTGCTTAGACTTGACTGAATAATCTTTAGGAAGTTCCGTGCCGTCCTCACATCACCACTGATTGCCTGGAGGACAGGCACGTAGCTCTCGGGCTGCAGAACACAAAACAACATCCAGCACCATCCCTGGGGGAATACTCCACGCAATATTTCCATGAGCACCACGCAACCAGGGGTGCTGCCCAAAGGCTCACAGAATTCATTCATCAGTGGGCTTGGACCAAATGCCCTTTCTATTCACGGGCATACAGAATCGGGTTCTTTTTATTCTATGGCAGCTCTAAATACATCATCTTATCTTCACAATCTGCCCAGCACAATCTCCTCATTGCCACCGGTCTGTTCAGCACCATATGCCAAGCTCTCACTACCTAAAACGTCAGCTTTATACCTCAAACCCCACGAAGTCACATTCCCAGAAAGAGAGATTTAGGCACATTAATACAGAAACTAAGCTGGTGACAAGCTGGAAAACCATAATCTCCCCCCCTGCCCCCGCAGGGGGAGGACACACTCACAGAGGAGCCCGTCAGGTTTTTTACCTATAACAGGAGTAGAGAAATCATCAGGAAAAAAGACAAGCCGACCAAGCAACTCCCTCCCAGGGCCGGCCAGTCGGGTTTATCCCCACGGAGACGAAGCCCACCCCGCAGCCCCCGCCACGGCTCCAGAGGCTCCAAGTCCCCGCAGGGAGGCCGCCCACCCCCGGCCCTACCTCCAGGCTCTCCAGCCGGTCCTTCAGGGTCTGCATGGTGCGGCTCAGCTGGTCGATGACCTGCGCCGGATCCCGCGGCAGGTCGCCCATAGTGTCCTTGCCCTTGCCCAGCTCCTTCTTCCAGGTCCCCGGGGCGGACTTGCCGTCGGCGCCCTCGCAGCGGCTCAGCTTGCCGGTGAGCTCCCGGATGGCCTCCCGCTGGCTCCCGATCGTCTCCTTCTGCTGCAGGACGGTCTCCCGCAGCTGCAGCACCGTGGCTCTCAGCTCCTCCTCGGGGGGCAGCGCGCCGCCCTGCATGGGCACCGGGGGCAGCGGGCAGCCCGCGCCGGCGGCCTCCAGCGGCAGCGAGGTGCAGACGAAGCGGCTCCCCGGGGGGCTCTCCTGCTCCCCCGCCGACCCTCGGCCGCCCGCGGCGACGGCCAGCAGGAGCCCGGCGACCACAGGCAACATCCCGGCCGGTGAGCGGGACGAGGGCTGGGAGGGAACGCCGGTCCGGTCCCGCCGCGCCGTCCCGCCACACTCCTCACA